CCAACACTGTGTCATGAAGCATAATGGTCTCTGCCCACAGTAAGCACTCAGCACATGACCACACGACCAGTCACAAGCCGAGCAGCGCCAAAAGCCGAGCGGCGCCATCACAACCAGCGCGGACACACAAGCAGCCCGCATGCACTATTTTGATGATTTTGCCGCCAACCTGCTACGCCCGACAGGGCGATTCAAAATCATGTGGAAAAATCCATCGAAAAAAGATGCCGGAACGCTGTTCCAGTGCGTTCTATGACAAAAAAAGCCCTGCTTATCCTTCTCATCATTATTATTTTTAAAGGAGTGACAAGTAGACCTAAGTGATAGGTTGAACACACTTATAAATCAGTTTGCCCCCTGTCCAAATGCACAACTTTATCAAGAGGTGTAGCATGTTAAATATGAGTTAGATAACATTTTTACAGCAGGTAGAATTTGCACCAGCATGTTTAAGATAGTCATATTGGGAGAATGACAAACAGCCCAGTAAATATTGGCAAGTCGTCTTCAACAACAAAAAACACTGAAACTATATCTTACACATGCCAAATCATCCTAAACATATAATTTTTCGATTTAAAAAAAAATATTCAGAATTGTATAGTAGTGGTTGTGAAATATCTAAGCAGGATATCAATGCTTTTTCCCAGATTAATTTTCCCTGGCAAGATATGTCACAAAGGCAGTTTTTCATGGTGTCCTTTTGAATTGATGAAATTAAGAAAGCCATCGTTAACATGAAATGGGAAAAGCAGCTGGTCCATATGGATTTCCAATTGAATGATACAAAACTTTTTCCAGCTTTTTAGTTCCCAAGCTTCATCATTTGTATAATTCTGTTTTTGAACAGAGTACTCTTTCATCAACATTCAATGATGCTTACATTTCAGTAATTCCTAAACCAGATAGAGATCATTCCCCGTGTGCTATAGACCTATTTCACTGATTAATGTTAATATTAAAATACTAACTGCAATTTTGCTGGCAGTCTCTGCAATGTTACTCCAGCTGGACCAGGTGGAATTAATTAAAAATAGGCAGGGGCTTTTGTTTTCAACTTTCCTGCAGAATGGTCAGAATGGTTTCAAATTTTATATAAATATTCTGGAGTCACAGTCAGCACCAACAGAATTGTGTGTTTACTTGAAATAGATACCAGTCATGGTGGTCCGCTTTCCCCATTGCTACTTGATTTTTTTTTGAATCGAATCCCTGGCATGTGCTGTGTGACAACACCATAATCATGGATGTGTGCATCTTGAGTTAGAATCTAAACTTATTCTCTTTGCTGATTATCTATTGTTTATTTTGGAACTCCATCTATTCTGGCTTTGATGCATATGATTAATGATCCTGGACATTTATCTGGTTAGTCTATTAACTAACCAAATTTGAAACTTTTTCTGTTGGAGATAATATATCCCCTAGTGTGTTATCCAATTAGCAATTTAGACTTTGCGCTGAGTTTATAACTTACGTATCTAAGAACACTTTTTCCAGGAGGCATATCAGAAATAATTAAGCTAAATGTTAGTAACTTGATTAATGTGATCTCAAGAGATATTGACAGATGGGCCTCTATGGGGTAAATGCACTTAAAATGAACATAATACCTCAGATTCTTTCTGTTTTATGTGACATTCCTTTATTTATACCTGGAAAGCAGTTTCAGAAGTGTAATGACTTGTTTCATAAATTTTATGGGGTTCCACTCAAAGAGGGTTGATTTAGCTTCCTTGATTTTTCCTTATACCATTGGGCCCATTTATTGACTTGAACTAGATTTTGGTCTTTTCCATTTGATTACATTCCTCTCCCTGGTTAGTTTTTGAATTTTCACTTCTGGATCCACTTCCCAGTGGATTGCACTGGGCTTCCATCATACCAAAACAGATAATGTGCCTCTTCCAGCTGTGGCAGTCACAGTGCTGTGGAATATATTACAGTGGAGTAGTCAATTGCAGTCTAATGCCTTTTCACATGCAAAATTAAATTTATGGGGTAATCAGGTAAGGAAATGTTTGCTTGACAAACCTGGACAGACAGGCTGAGTTTTACTTTAGATTACCTTGTTGGCTCTGATGATGATGATGATGATGATGATGATGATTTTGCCATTTTCTGCTTTGTGTGCTAGATATGAATTTCCAGCTACAACTGTGTGGCAAAACACGCAACTGAAACATTTTATTTATTCTTTTATTATATACTTGTATGCTGCTCACTATTCCAGTAGGAATCTCTAAGTGGCTTACAACAATAATCAAGATCACGATAATTAATAAGAGTAAAACAATAAATTCATCATATAAAACAACAACAATAAAGCAGTGGCCATTTAAGAATGCAGCAAGTGAGAAGGAAAACATATATTTTGGTATTCAAATATTTAAAATCAGTTGCTAAAACAGCTATTAAAATATCTGGAGAAGAAAAATGGTTTTGCCTGGCACTGAACAGAAAAGAATGTTGGTGCCAGGCAATTTTTTTAGGAGCCTCTTGCATAAATGGGGGTAGCCACCAAGAAGGTCCTTCTATTTGCCACACCTCCCACCTCCTTGAGGAATGGCTCTTTGAGAAGGACCTCTTGCTCAGATCTTAATGGATGGGTAGGCATATATGATGTAACACACCACTACTGCTACTAACAATATGGGAGAAGGTGGTCCTTTAGGCAGCCAGGTCCTAAGCTATTTGGGGCTTTCTATGTCAAGACAAGCACTTTAAATTGGGCCCGGGCTTCAACTGGGAACCAGTGTAACTTGTATAAAACAAATTTATGTGGGACTGCAAACTAACACCTTTTACTAACTGTGCAGTCCAATTCTGGCCCAATTGAATATGCTGGACCATCTTCAAAGGCAGCCCCATGTGTGGTAGCACAATGAATGGCGGACTTCATTAAACTTTCAATATTTGACTAGGTGGCCTTTAGGCATAATCTACAAATGGATGCATACATGGATATTTGGGGTGCCTTTGTTGAAGTCTATGTATAATTATTTTAAACAATGGTAATATGTTCTGTTATATACTAATACACACACACACACACACACACACAACTTGTCCTATGTTTCTGGATTTCACTCAAAAATTGTAAGTGTAAATATACAGAAACAGCATCGCAAATTTCTGCAGGATCATTGGCATTCACATTGCATAATGAAAGGCATATCTCTAATTATCTTCCGTACAGAGAGAATCATACTGGCTATGTGATGTTTGATTGTATTTCCCAATCTCTCCAAACCTATACCTTGTTTAATGTACACTGGAAGTCTTTCTCAAACGCAGTACCCATGAACACATGTGGAAGATTAATTTCTGGATCTATCGCTACCTGTTCATGGTGGAATCTGGCTGTACACATAGGACCACCTGTTTATCAGAGCTTGACACAAATGACTCCCTTTTTGCCGTATTTACCCACGAATGTTTCATTTCCGTACTTACCATGAAACTACAATCTAAGCAATCCACTGCATTTTCTTTTCTCTATAGATATCAATACTGCATTTGGTTGGTTTCAGCAGGCATCGCTAGAAAAACAATAATTTCTCCTGTGTGAGACACAGGAAATTTCACTGTGTGAGCTGAGTTATATATATGACTCTCCCATTGAAATGAATGTGGGTGGAGTTTCCAAAAAAAAAGAAGGTCTTTGGGAAGAATGAACAGGGAGCTAGTTTGTGTAACCAGTGACAAAGGAGTCATCTGTTGTTTTGAATAAAGACATTTTGCAGAATGGGAAAAGTTAATATTGGATCAGTCTTGATTTTAGTTGCTGGAAGGATTTAGGGAAGGCTTCATTCCACACAAATTGTGCACTCTTGTTAGAATTGGCCAAGCCTGTACTGTTTCCACTTTCTCCAGATCTGTAGCAATTTGTGTGAGGAAATCACATGTCCAAAGTACTGGACCTGTAATGTAAATAGCTGATATTTAGACAGCTTGATTAATAACCCAGCACTCTGTAACTGCCTCAGGACTGCATCCAGTCAGTTTAGGTGTTCTGGCAAGGAGCTGCTAAAAAGAATTATGACCATCTAGGTATACTGGACAAGCAGTCCATTGCAAGTCAGCAAGGACTAGTTCCATCAACCCCTGGAAAATGCTTGAGGAATTACATAGACTAAATGACATGGCATTCGATTTAAAAAGAATAAAAGCTGTTTCTTCATTGTCCCCTGGATGCATGTCCACCTGACAGCATCTGTGAGCTAAGTCTAATGTAGAAATTCACTGCAAATGATACAACATGCTCACTGCTCCAGGAACTGTTCAGATGTAGAACAGAAGGTAAATGTTGTAGAAGGTATCATCCACCTAGGTAGGTGAGCATCCTTTCTGGGACAATTAAGTTGTTGACCACCAGTGCAAAACTTTACCCCATCATCTCTTTTTCCTAACTAGTACAACGAGTACAATTGATTTATCAATATATTATGTGGTTCTTTTGCATTTTTCTTAATCTTTTGTTAGCTGATTGCTGGAAATTCAGGGGTATTTCAAACTAATTTTAATAGGAAGATCATGGCTGGTACAAATATGTTGCTGCATTTTTATCAACCCATTTGATAAACTCCTTTGCTAAACACTCTAGCATATTATTTGAACACATCTGTACTGAGGTGCTCCTCTTTCTCTGATGATTGTGTTAGATCGATATGTAGTGCCAATATAAATTACTTGATATTTCAAGAATTTCTAATTTCTTTTGCACCTTCTGTCTTATTTTGTCAGCCTTAGCATGTGGAGAAAACTCTCTCAGTTTAGTTTCAGGCTTTAAAATGTGAAGTTCTTGATCTAAAGTTGCAATCTAAACCATGCAATCACAAGAATTTGTGCAACAATCATAATATATCCACCCAGTGCTCCTCTACATGGCTCCATAATGCCTACTACCATATCAAAGTTTGTAACTCCCTTTTCAATTATATGCAGGACACAATAATTTTATGTTGAAATATTATAAACAGCCATCTCACACACTTTACCTTGGAATCTGCCTGTTCCTCAAAGTTTAGCTTCTGGGTCTCCATGTGGCTGCTGCCCGTGCTGTCAAGTCCTATATACCCACATACTTTGGAACTGGATTCTGTTAGATCTTTTCCTGCACAAGGGGAGGAGATGAGTGAGAGATTCCACAGCCGTGTCCCCACAACCCCAGGATGCAGCAAAGAGGAAAGCAGGGGTCAATCCTCAGTTCTCTGTTCACTATTCTCTTGTAATGTGAAAAGAGGAAATCTGCAGGAAGCTTTGAAGTGTTTATTATAGCTCATGCTCTTTGGGAGGTTTTCAAACATCTAAAAGACTGTCATACATTGTTATACTCCTGGCATCATGGAATCAGGGTGGCATTCATACTCAAGAACTGAGCAGGTATGTTTGGCTTTAGCAGGTTTGTTGTAGCATGTGCCTTCAGCCTATACCTTGAGACTTGGCTATGCACATGAATAAGGACATGAGATTCTGGATTTTGTGCATGTGAAGCTCAGGTGTTGCTCCTCATGGAGGAGATGTGCAAGTTCCTCATATGTGCTTCTTTCACCATGTACAGTAATTATCTCAAAACAATCATTACACAGAATGAAAGAACCCAAGAGCCCTGCTGGAAGTATGTTTAGTCTCACATCCTATGACCCACAGTGGCCAACTAGATGCCCTTGAAAAGCCCCAGCCATTGGCATTCACCAGCAAATTGTCTTTAAAACCACACAGTGTATGCAGTTGATCTGGCTGGCACAATGACTATGGCTTAAATGAAGTATAGGATGTCACCTACATATGAACAAGTTCTATTCCGAAAGCATGTTTGTAAGTGCAATTTGTTTGTAAGTCCAACAAAGTTAGCCTATAAAGTATTGTAGTGTAATAGGTTTATAACGACACTGGAGAACTTCTGTTGACATCACTGGAAGACTTCTGGAAGTTCTATGTAGCAACGTGGAAGTGGACCTGTGTTGTTTGCCTGATGGGTCCTTCCTCATATGGCGTTACTGTAAGGTCGGTGTGACCTGTGTTATGGACTCACCATTCACAGTTATAACAGCAAAGTACACAAAAGCACATTCGCATCTTTGAAAGTTTGCAAGTTGAAGGTTCGAATGTAGAAAACCTCCCGTGTAGTGGCTTGCTTAAGCTGTTTTGTGTCAGAAGCCATTTGCCTTATTACTCATGCAGGCATGGCTTGTCATGGGCTTCAAACCCAGGCAGCATGGCTTGTTGGAGGGGGAAACAACCCTCAAATAACCCAACAACAACCCATGAATTATTTCTCTGTTCAACAAATCTTGACTCCTTAATTCAGATAATATGACAAGCAGGAGATAAAGCTAATGGTGCCCAGCATGTGCTGCAACTTAAACAAGCTACTGCGACTTGTGTAAGCTATGGTGCGTGTGCAAACAGGGCCCAATACTCACAAGATCACCTCTATCCACATGCTTGCTAACATCCTCAAAGAATTCTGAAAGATTCTTTGCCATCAGAACATTCTTTATTTCAGAAGAGGTTGCGGTGTCTCCTAGGTTCAACACAGCAATGTACTCTTCCTTGTTAAAATCAATGCAAGAGCGCAGCAATCGCCTTCCTTTGTCCTTCAATGTGTCAGCAAATCTCAAGACTGTAAAACTCTCCCTGTGGTCTGGATTCATTTTCTGGTGCTGACAGCCCAAATGCTCCAGGCTCTGTGGTGTTTTTTCAGGCTACCAGCTGAGTGTGGACTCTGTAGCCACCACAGTTAAATCCACCAGGAAATAAAGCCAAAGTAAACACTGACCTAAGGAGACACATCTCCCCTTGGCAACCTCTGGCTAAGACTGATCAGAGAAGCAAGGGCAGCTTTAGGTTAGGCAAAGGAGGCAGAAACAGTGGCTGTACGTGGCTCTAGAGGAAAATAGGGCATAAGAGCAAAGTGATGGCTGAATTGGGTCAGGGTAGCACTGAGCGCAGCTGTAATAATAAAACTTCATGTAGAACCATCAAACATCCGAGGTACTTCACTTGCGTTATCTAGCTACAAATCTTTACAACTGCACTGTAAGCTATGCCAATAACATCATTCTCATACTGAAAAGGGTGGGGGGTGGAATGGGATGAAGGCTTGTCTAAGGCTTCCGAATGAGTTCATGGGAGAGATGAGCTTTGCCCACCCTCACTTGACTACAGTGCAGGGCTAGGTAGTCATACTGGGGCTATGCAGACCCTTTCTCCCTCCTGAACTGTACTGGCTTGCACAGGCCTGCGGGGAGCCCTTTTTTATCACGTGGGATATGTGACTGGTAAAACTCCATTAGGTCACAACAGGCAAAGACATTGCCCCATGTAGGATGATGGGAGATTCAGTGCTGGTGAGGAGGTGGAAACAGCCATGAGGCATGCCTGCTTCACCGACACAGAGGTAGTTTGCTCAGGAGTGTGTGTCTGTGTCACAGACACCATGAGGACACTGGCAAGAAGGACCCTTCCCATCCAGAAGCCTGCTCAGCTATCACAATCCCTTGCACAGTAAAAAAATACCACACGCTTAGGATTGAACGGTTTTGCTGTCTTGTTGCAGTTTCTGTTCAGCAGTTAATCAAGTTATGGCCTTTCTGTGCATCTTTATGTACATGTGTCAGCAAGGCTGGATGGAATGTGGCCGTGGGATGGTGCTCACATGCATGGGCTACTGGCTAAAAGTGCAGCTTAAAGCAGCCTTCTAGATGCAGATGTTAAAATACGATTAAAACAGGACACACTTTTATCTTTCTCGGTTATAGTCAGCTAAATATGCACCCAGGACCTTCTTGAAGGGGAATACAAGAGTAACACCTCCCCTTCACATACATGCACAAGGGAGTGGGTGGGAATGACTGCCATTGTGAGCGTGGGGATACTGCAGCCATCCAGACACGACTAATTAGACAACCTTTTCCATTCACACCAAAATGGACTTGGAAAGAGATTGCTGTAATCTATTTACAAAGATCCATGTGACTGGTTCTGATAATCATGCCTATATAGTTGGCATCTGCAATCACCTGGACCCACCATGGACATATTTTCTCTCTGTGTGTTGTGATATAAAGGTAAAGGTAAAGGTTTCCCCTTGACGTTACATTCAGTCATGCCTGACTCTAGGGGGCAGTGCTCATCTCCGTTTCCTAGCTGAGGGAACCAGCATTTGTCCACAGATGGTCTCCGTGGTGATGGGGCCAGCATGACTCAACACCAAGGTGCATGGAATGCTGTTACCTGCCCACCGAAGTGGTTCCTTTTTATCTACTCGCATTTGCGTGCTTTCAAACTGCAAGGTTGGCAGCAGCTGGAATGGAGCAACGGGAACTCACCCCATTGTGCAGATTCGAACCGGCAACCTTTTGATCAACCAGCCCAGCAGCACAGCAGTTTAAACCACTGCGCCACCTGCATCCCTGTGTTGTGGTATAAAGGAACACTAATAAAAATTATGTTCCTTCATCCTAGAAGTAGATGCTCCCCCATAAGTGATTCCTTCTAATCCCATTTGTTTAATTCAGGAATTGATGGAGGCAAAAGTGAGAGCGATGGAAGCCATTTTGGTTGGCACTGGCCATATCAGTATAGTTCACGTGCTGCACTTCTACTGCTGGCTCTGAAAACCTCTACCTTTGTCACTGTGGTCTATGGAACTTGTAATCTTTCCTAATTCTATTCTTAAGGCTTCCAGCTGGGCAGTACCTTCAATCTCTTCTTTCTTTTGTTTCCATCCTGGCCCAGTGAGGTAAACACAAGGGGGTGGGCAGAAAAACCTGGTAAGAAAAGCAAACATTTTGTTCATCGGAGGAGCAAAATGTTAAAGCTAGAGCAGCATCTCTGAATTTTTATTTCTCTGGGGAATTCTGGTATAAAATTCATCTTGTCCATTTTAAAACAATGTATGGGAGAAAAACAAACACAAAGATTATGTTTCACATGCAAAAATCTGCTTTGCCAATATATTGTATATACACGCGCTTGGATATTTACATACATAATTGTGCAAGCTGTCTCCACACCATGCTGTTCTCATTGCAGTGATCTGGTTACAAGCACATGATTTCCATTTTAAATATTATAAGTTGTTTAGTGCTTTTTTGAACATTAGAAGAGTCCTGCTGGATCAGATCAAAAGGCTTTCTAGACCAGCATCCTGTTTCCCACAGCAACTAACTTGATTCCTATTGGAAGCTCACATTCAAGACATAAGGGCAATAGCACACATTTGTTCTCTAGCAACTGAATTTGGGCAATACATGTTGACATTCTTGATCAGCCATGAAATTCACAGTATTAACTTGGACATATGATTATTTCTATCCCATCAATAACTGTTGCTTGTCTCAGAGGGATTCTTTACATGAGGCATCTATTGTACGTTTGTGATCCTTCTTCAGTCAAGGACGTTGTTGCTGGCTATTTATTTGTTTATTTTTTATTGCCCCATAGTTGAACCTTTCTGGCTGGTTTACAAAAAATGCATAAAGCAAAACAATAATACACAATTTAAAATGACTTTAAAACAGCTATAAAAACACACACAGTGAAAAAGACCCTGCAAAGGAAAAGAATCTCCCAGATAAAGGCACAGCAAGGTTGAAATAAATATAAAACAAAGCACAAATAAAGGCTGGTTGGGTGGGTGACTCATAGTTGCAGGCTACATGGTGATATTGTTTATAGCAACTTTATAACTTTTGTAAATTGTTATGCTTATCATCTCATGTAGCTGATTTTATTTTGTTCTGTTTTGAATTTTTGAACTTTGTTTTATGTGTATTTTAATGTATCTTGCATAACGTATCAATGCATCTTGTATTTTAATTGTTGTAATCAGTCCTGAGAGCCTTTTATGGCTAAGTGGCAGTACAGAAATTTAATAATAATTAAAATAGTAATAATGTAACACTGCACCGCCTTGAGGCTGTATAATGCAACATATAGCTAGGGTGGGCAAACTGAGGCTCACGAGCTACATGTGGCACTTTGAGTGTATTCTGCGGCGGGTAAAGGGGCTGAAAAAGCCCCTTGCAGCTTCTCTTCTGAGCAACTGAGCCATGCCAACTAAAGCAGGGAACAAGGTGCAAATCTCTGGCTGTGATAACCAATTGTGGTTATCCTTTGTAGGACTTCAACACTGAGGCTCAACCAATCAAGGCTCAACCAGCAGCAGAGCCGGTTAGCACAAAATCGCTTCAGGGAAAGACCTGCAACTCTCCTGCTGTGATTACTGATCTATTCCAAGCCTCAAACAGCAACCCAGTCAGCAAATGCAAGAGCCCTGTAGAGAATGAGTCCAGCCTCTTCTGTTACCATTCCCACTGCAGAGCACTTCAATTTGTTTGGAAGTGCCTGTGAAAGTCTTGTGAAGGAGGGTGGCATCAACAAACGGTAAGAAGCAAAAGTCTGAAGATGAAAACAGAACTTTTAAGCCAGAGTGGGAGGAAAAGTTTGCATCCACCCTTAAAGGAGGTAAATCTTTGTGTCTTATCTGCAATATGTCACTCAGACATTACAAAGCCAGTAACTTGAAATGCCACTATAAAACAAATCACAAAAACTTTTCATCTGATTATCCATCTAAATCAGAATTATGGAGAAACAAGGTAACAGTGTTAAATTTTTCACTGAATAGCCAGTAAACACTCACAAGAACTAGCAGTAGCTAGCTTGATAATTGTACCAATTCCTGTTGGTCTTAAGAAATAAATATTTGTTCATGTCTTGCAGCTCTCAAACATCTGACATTTACCAAATGTGGCTCTTCTGTTGAGCAAGTCTGACCATCCCTGACATATAGGAAAGCAGAGAAAAAAGACCCTGTGGGAAAAGACATATGTAAATGGCACACGCTTTCTCCCACAAAAAAACAAGAGGTTAAATGCCTCATGTAGAGAAGCCCAGAACTGTTGAAAAATAATACAGAGACTGTTTATTTGGCCATTTTTCATTTTTATCCCAACCTTCTCCAAGGGATTAAGGATCTCTCGCCCTCTCCCATTTGATCCACATAACAACATGTGAGGTAAGCTAGGCCGAGAGCCAGTAGCTGGTCCCAAGTCATCCTATCTGCCTCATGGATGAGTGGAGACTGTGCACAGGTTTCTCAGGCTTAGCGAACACTAATCACCACATTACACTGACTTTCAATATAATCCCATGTATTATATCTGCTGTCCTTGGAAGAATAGAAATATGACACAAAGATGAACTGATACAAAATGTTTTAAAGGCTTTGAGTTAGATCCACACTCATGCTGGAATTCTAAACATACTTACTAGGACGTTAGTGTCATTGAGTTAACTGGGACTTACTTCTGAGCAAACATGCTAAGGATTGTGATGTTAGCCACTTAAATCAATGGGAAAACTTGGTCCTGACTAACTGCGCTCTCATTGGGCATACATGGATACTGCCCAGTGGATGATGGAGATCACTGGGGAGCGGGGGTCACACATTAATTTCCTCATTTCCCCTTGAACAGCCGGAGAACTTGTGATTTTCTCAGCCTGGAATGTGGAAGTTTCAACAGGTTGAGAACAGAGTTTACATTCATAACCAGATCCTTAGACTTACATACATAAATAAATGTAATTCCAAAGTTTTGGTAACATGTTTTCCTGTGTTTTATTTAGGTTTCCACTGTCTTTAAACTCATGTCAATGGCTGGAATTCATGTGTAAAGTATTGGTTATAATCTTCCAAAATGCATGGTTTTATACTCCAGTGCCATAGCAGTATTTTTGAGGGTGTTCATTACAAAGAAAGGCTCAGACTGACTCATTTAAACATCAGTCTACATGTTGAGGGCCAGTTCTTAAACAATTCCCTCCAGCCCTTGCCAAAGCCACAAAAACCCGGTTTTTCAGGACACATTGTGTCATGGCAGGGTTAGCCAGAGAAGCTTCAGACCAAGCCACTATGAGCACAGCAGTGCAAAACTGGCCAAGGATTTTTCCTGTTGGGTGAGAGGTAAGTGGCTGATACTAATATCACCACCTATAGACTGGCTTGATCTAAGATCATTTCTGGGCATACTGGAGCATCTGCAGCATGTTCAGGGACAATAGTGGTGGTTGATCCAAAAGCAGCATAAAAGTTCTGTTACTGCCAGGCAATGAGTCATAACTCAGTGGTATCTGTGATAATACATAGGCCTTTGAGAAGGCTTCTCCTCTGTTGACTGATGGGACACCTGCCAGCCAAAAGAGAAGGCGTCTGCCAGTTTTTCATTTCAACATCTTAAAAACAGCAGGCTTTTCAATCCAATCAGGGAAGAACAGTCACCACTGTGTTGGAACAGCAGGTTCTGCGGGTGATTCCTCCTTTCCCCATCAGATGGGTACCACTCAGATGAAAAGAAAGCACTACTCTCTTACACGTTGTTTTTGGGCTGGGTAGCCTCTCTCTCAGAATGGATGCTGCCAGATTTTCATACAGGTACGGCAGGCAACATACAGTCTATGGCCACTTAAGGCTTCCTCCTGGTAGGTTTTGTTCATTTATTTGTTTGCCCCCCCCCCCCCCCGGGTGCACCACTGCTGAATTTGCCACTGACATTTCAAAGTTTAGAAAAACAGTTTAGCAGAAAAAAAGCAGGAAGCTTGCTTTTAAATGTCAGTATGATGATGGCAGTGACAAAAAGGGGCTATTTTAAAGCACAGGGAGTGCCCACTGTGGAAGCTTTCCAACCTTGATGTATAAAAATCAAAGGCTTCTATATGGATTTCAAGACATTTTGCTCTCTTGCATGCATAATATGCAAGAACATGGGTTTAGTCAGCACAGTGGAGCCACTAACAAGTTTCAGTCAAGAACATGAGTGGGAGAAAATGTCATTTAAGGCATGTCTGTGTGCTGAAGAGAGCCAGCATACCATCTGCTCTACCATGCCATCCTGTTGTCTTTGTGCTTTCCAGTTAAGATGGTGGTGGGGAAATTAGAAGGTAAGGAAGCAGGGTAAGAAAAGTGACCAGTTATCTGGGAGGTACAGCTGGGCAGGCACTGACGACAATTGGAAAATTGTGAGATGCTCACTACATCTCACACAATGCACAAACATACACAAATGTTATTTAACCGTTTCCCCTGCATAGACTTTGGTGGACTTCTAGTCTTAACAGGATTCACGATGATTTCCTACCTTTTTTCATTGCCATATGATTTCTGAGCAACTTTTGCATGGAGGATCAGCACAGTCCGATCAGATGGGAACTGAAGATATTTGCGCACTCCATCTCGAAGAGGATCGGTTTGCTGTGCATTAGATCTAAATGAGATGAAGCAGAGCAAAGCAAGGTATGAATGTGCTACAGCACTGCAATCCTGCAATACTTATTAGAGGAAAGCCTCACAGAACATAGTCAGGCTTGCTCCTGAGTGATTTAGTTAAAAAATGCATTTATATATTTAACTTAAAGTCCGCTTTTCTACTAAAGCATTCATAGGCTTGCATTGTATGCCACATGCTTTGATTAGTGAGGCCCTAGCAGCCTAACTCTATCCATCCCTGGGTATCATGCAAGTGCACCTGAACTCTTTTGGTATGTTCTGCATTTGCAAATTACCCTCCATCTCAGTGCTGGTAATGACAACTTTGATCTTGCCGAGTGTCTTTGCTGCATTCCAAGAGCTCAGCTCATGACACCTGGGGTTACTTCACTATAGGCTGGAGAGACAGTCAGCTTTTAAGAGACATCAGAATGGGGTAGCCAAGTGCAAAGAGCAATTAAACCTCTGAGAGGAAGAGAGGGCATTTCACCAGACTTGGGCTGTATACCCATTGTGAATATTAACAAAATACGTTGCTCATTAGAAGGATGCATTCTTGGCCCAACCCTGCCAGAGGGTTCATTTGTCCTTTTGTTTTTCATTTGTTCTTTCTTTTTCAAAAAGCTGATATGTGTCTCAGGGCCAGAATATGGCATGTGGTGGGGGGACAGGGACTCCAGCCAGAACTTCCCTTTCCATGCCGACATTTGCAATATGAGGAACACTTGCGTCGCCACGGATGGCCACTTTCCTTCCATTTCAAAAAGCTGGTATGGGCAAGGAATTTTGACAGGGACTGTGGTGGGATGGAAGGGTTGAAGCCACCCTTCCCCACACCAGGGTCCCTATGTAACTTGCCCCCTTACTCAGGCTGGCTATTTGTGAAAGAGAAGAGCGCCTATGCAATGGCAAACTATGTGACAGATGTGATGCCTAGCTTGGCTTTTAGAGGGCTGTGGTGCAGGATCATCTTGTGACCTGTGTACATGTATTTGTTGTGAACTTCCCAAAAAGCTTCAGTAAGTGAAGAGGAATCTTTAAAAAAAATCCTGCTTTTTTTCCTACAAGGAATTCAAGGTGATTTATATAACCTTCCTTTCCATTTTCTCATGGCAACATCCCGGTGAGATAGGTTAGGCTGAGAGTCAGGAGCTCCATGGCCAACTGGGGACTAGAACCTGGATTTCGTAAGTCCCATCACAACACTGCAACCTCTATGTCTCACTGGCTGTCTTAGAGCTGATGTCCAACCTCTCAGTATGCTAAACAGGTAGGATGAGATCTACTGTATTGTCACATCACCACCATCTATTGGGTATAAATATTTACAGTGAAATGGTTTGATGCTGCACCTTTAAGTGGTAGTCTGTTTTTTTGAATCTTGAGACCACCCAGAATCTGTCACATGGTCTAAATTTACATTCAGTAATGCCAATGGGGGATTGCTCAAGGGAGTTTATCAAATCAGATTTACTCCTTCTGGGATGTGGTATATGTTTAGGATTACAGGGGAATTGTTCATTCTTTCTGACGTTCATTTATTATACAGAATCTGTACAAGGCTTTGAATATTGTAGCAAATTACTGCTTTGTCATGTCTACCCTACATCACAGAGGGCTCTCAAAAGCCTTCAGTATTTGAAGTTTCATTCAAGACTCAAACAACTTTGCAAAGCTGTATAAGAAAACTAAACAAGAACGGGCATAGAGAAGCCTTCCCCAAACTGGTGCCTTCCAGATGTTTTGGACTTGAACTCCCATCACCTGGCAGGAGGTGCAGATTGAAACAACAGGAGGGCACCAAGGTGGAGAAGTCTGATTAACCAAGTTAAGCAACTCCCTCTGAGTTCAATAGAAGTACAAAGTAGAATATGTAGCAACACAAGAATATAGAATCCTAGAATACCTAGGAGCTGCATTATAGAATATAGAATCCTTGGTTCATTGAGCCATTTATTGTCCACACTGACTGGCAGCAGCTCTCCAGGGTTTCAGGCAGGAGCATTTCTAGCCCTTGGTAGAGAAGACAGGGTTTAACTTGGGCCCTTTTGCATGAAAGGTATGTGCTCTACCACTGAGTTATGGTCCCTCCCAAATGTATTCTTACATATGGATAAATTTATGATACAAGAAATTTGTATACATACAGCACAGAGACCTCATGCATACATGCAAGGAGACCATGCATAATGTATCTTGGAATATCAGTTGAGAACACATCAGTGGTAGTTGCAAATCCACTAGACTGTATTTAATGTCAGTCCTACTGTACTTAGAATAAAGCTATTGAAATTAATGGGACTTAAGTTAGACAAATGTTAGATATGATTACAACTCATGAAAAGGGATATTTATAAATAATGGCCACGAGAGAGACAATCTCACTGGAGTTTATACTTCCCTTCACCCTAAGGTTTTGGGAATTGAAAATGGAATTCTTATAGGTTTCTGCTTCTCATGCCCCTGAGTACATGTTTGCTTTTCTCTTGTTCCCTCCCCCTCCCCCTCCCTATTCATGCTCTGTACTTTCACTGTTAAAGAATGTTTCTAACCACATGCCAATAGTGGAATAAAGAAGAAAAACAAAACCCCTCCCTGGCCATTGAGAAGCATGGATAAAAGACCAAGAGGGTGTACATAATTTTCCAATTATGTAAAGTTAGAATTTGATGGACACATTTCATGATTGATATTTCCACCTGAACAAAGCTTTCCTTGCCACCCTCTTCTGCACAAGCGTAAACATGAAAGGCTCAAGACAAATCAAATAGAGACGTGATTCTGATCCATCCAGGAAATTCCGTGCAATTAAGCACATCACTACATAATATAATGAAATACTATTAAAGTCCAGTGCTCCCAGGACTTCAGCAGGTTCTGGTCTGATTCTCTTCATACTTACCCTCATGGATCATTACCATTTACCTTAATTTAAGTGATTGAAGGTTAAAACTAGCTATGCTTTTTCCTTTGCTGGAGCACTGCATTAAATCCCGAGAAAGTAGGTATCCCAGGAAGCTTGAAAGCAGAAGGTATGCAGTGGGGATGCTTTAAAAGTTTGATGCAGACTAGAGGGTTTAATGCAGGGGCACAGAACCTCCACCCCAGGGCAGAATTGCATTCCACTGGTGGATGGGGCTGAAGGCAAATGGGCAGGGCCAAATAATAAAATACGAGCATTATCTTAGTTTACAGTTCTTAGTGTCAGGGAGAAAACCTTAGAAGAAACATTTCGGCTGTTCAGAATGTGTATGGGGTAAGCGGGGGAGACACACAGAAACCACCAAAGAATGGGTGTTTGGGAAAAAGGTGTAAGGCCGGGAGTAGGGGGCATGACCAGCTGCAGATGTGGCCAGCCCTGGGTTCTGCACCCCTCGTTGGAACATAAGAAAAGCCATGCTTGATCAAAGCCAGAGTCCATCTAATCCAGCCTTCTGCTCACACATTGATCAACCAGCTGCCCATGGGAAACCCACAAGCTGGACATATGTGCAAAAATGCAGCAAGTGGTGTTCACAGCATGCTACTTCTGACCCTGGAGGTGGCGCATATCATCACAACTAGAAGCCACTGATTGTCTCTGCCTCCATAAATTTGTCTGGTTCCCTTTTAAAGCTATCCAAAGTGGTGGCCGTCACTACCTCTTGTGAAAGTGAATTTCATAGTTTAACTATGAACTCTATGAAAAAGCTTTTCCTTTCCTTTCCTTTCCTTTCCTTTCCTTTCCTTTCCTTTCCTTTCCTTCCAAATCTCCCACCAATCAGGATGAAGCAGAGTTCTAGTATTATGAAAGGGAGAAAAATGTTTCTATTTTCTATATGCATGATTTGGTACACGTGGGTCTTCTTGAGTCATTTGCAAATGTTTTAAGTTCTAGGAGAAAATATTCCAGTTTGCAATAAGGGCTTAGCAACGTTGGTTCAACCCACTGACACATTCCCACATGAGCCAATGTGAAGACACAGTGCAGCTACTTCATCTTTTCTCCTCCACAGATTTTCTTCAGTAAGGAAAAAGATGGAAGACATTGCTGGAAAGAAACTGGAGGCTTGTGAGCAGAAGGGGTCTTCTGGTCCAACTGCAAAACGTTTATGAATTGAATAAGGCAACAATGCTATCTTCCAGATTTTTCAGGGCCCTTGGACAAGGTGCCTTCAATTGGGCTTCACCCTCAGTAAGTCTACTTGCTCACCACCATCACCATCAGCTGCTACTGCTTCGCATCCTCTGTTCCAGCATTTCCACCACCTGCTTGACTGACAGGTAAGAGGAGAGCTAGTGTGCAAGTCCATCCAAAAGCATCCTTGATGTGAGTCACCAGATTCATTTGGTTTGGTACCAGGCAACTTGGATGCCTTCAGTTTTAAACTAACATGTCTTTAATCATCCTGACTGAGTATGGCAGGAAGGCAACAAGAGGCAATTAATCCATTAAGCAAATACACCTACGAGTTATAATAGCTACCTCATGGCTGTCACACTCAGTCAGGCTGTGTGAGATCCCTAAAGAGACCTTTGATGACAGAGCTTGAAAATGTTACATTTCTCTTAACTTCCATGCATTTCAGTATGGCCTGAAAATATTAGACATAGCTACATTTTTATAGTGCACAATTCCAAGTACTTGAGGGACATTGATTCTGTTGTATGCACTGCTTATTTTAAATGCTCAAGGAGTCCTGCACGGTTTTCCCTAAAGCGGGGAAGCCTCGATACGCACCCTTCTTGTGCGGACGGAACCAAGGGAGCTAATTATCCCGCAGTACTTTACGCGAAGTGCAGTCGTGTGAACATGCCCTTCGCGTTTCTTTACGGGCCACGCTCGTTGTTATCGGAGTTCGCCGTCCGTGCGCTTCGCGGAACACGCCTAGCCATCCTCTCCCCGCGCGCACCGGCGCCCAGACAGCCCGGGAAGGTCTTCGCGGGAGAGGGGGCACATCCCCGCTCATGGCGCCACCCCTTCTGTCCGCGCCAGTCCATGCAGGTAGGAGGGGCTGGACGAGCGCGGCCGAATCGCTCTCCATGGGGTAGCACCATGCACTCCAGCCTCGAGGGGGAGGGGTCGACCTCCTCGCCCCCCCCCCTCCGCCCCACGCGGCCCCAGTTAAATGCGGCGCTCGCTGCGCTTGCTTCTCTGACAGCCCGGAGCAGCGGCGAGAGCGCAATCGGCAGGCGCAACGGCCTCCCCTCCACCCACGCCCAGCAGCGCCGGCGCTTACCTGTAGCAGCCCCACGAGGGAGTCATCCGCCCGCCATCTGCTGCGTTCGGCGGCTGCCTCTCCGCGCCTTCCAGCCGGCCGAGGTGAGTGAGAGGCTCCGGGGAGAGGCGAGCACCTGCAGGGCGAGAGCGCAGCGCTGAGCTCTCCGGGCACGCGGGAACGCAGGTGGGGATCTCCCCTCTCCTTATTTGGGGGAAATGCCGCACGGGCGGGCAGCGCAAGACCCTAAGCACGGCGGGGAGTGGGCGGTGAAGGCGCGCGTGGCTCATCCTGGAAGGGTCCTTCCTGAGCCTGCGCCCTCTCCCCGCGAGAAACAGCCTTCCATTTTACAAAACTCAGAGCGAACCGAGCGAACCTTCGGTCGTTCTTTTTAGCCAGGGAATAAAACAAAGGATTCCGCGCGTGCTTGCGTTCGAGTCCTGCTGCTTGCAGTCTCGAAGCTGCGCGGGGTTGTCTGCCTTGCTTATCCGTGTCCACTGAAATAGAAGAACGTGGACATTTTTGCGGTTGTTGCTATTGGAAGATGCGTAAAGAGCATCTCCCCATCCTAAGTTTCAGCATCATACTCCCCCTAGACAATGGTGGATAATAGGCAGCCCTCCACCCCTCTCCTTGAAAGCTGAGGAAGAGGTGGCACAGGTTTTCTGAACAGCATGCCAGGCATTTCCCCAAATATGCAGCTCGACCTGACTTGATCCCATTTGCTTCTCAACTTTCCAAATCCTCTTTTTATGGCAGTTGGTTAAATCTCGGAAAACGACTTTTGTGTCTTTGTTGTCCATCTAGGCTAAATGCTCTCAATTTCAGCCTTTTCCAGTATGCATTGCTCCCTCAGCATTCTCTTCCACATTTGCTTACTTAGGAAATGGCTGTACTTTTCTATATAGAAGCCTCTCTTTGCCAGTTTCCCATAGGAGTAGGTGGAATGGAACAGAGATGATCCCATCCCCCACAGAGGTTTTGCTAGGAGGTGGCCCAGTAGGGCTGGAGCCCTGAACCTCGCTTTGCAATGCCCCCGTCTCAAGGTCTCACGAGCTGTGCTGTCCATAGATACTTCCTAAAAAAAAAGTTGCAAGGGCCCTGATGATCTCGTCTACATTCATTGACGTTTTGCCCAGATGTGTTTCACCTCTTGATGTTCTCCTCCCTTGAATCTTTCTGCCAGTGTCCCCTCTTTTCCCCTGCCTGTGAATCTCTTTGCACAAATCAAGGTACCCTTAGGAGGCAGGGTCCTTTAAAGATGCAAACACAGAGAGGGTCTTTAGAGCAAATGTAAATCCATAGATGCACTTGGGTACATTTTTCGTCCTGTGGTCCTGAGCCTGCGATGTACCTTGGGTACATTTTTCATCCTGTGGTCAGTACCTAGCCCCCCCCCCCCACTGCTCCTCTCACCCCCAGCTCCCAGCAATCCTCTATCTCATGTCTTTTCAGCTCAAGTCTTACCCTAGAGAGGGAAACCAAGCACACTGTTCATTAGGAGAATCAGAACAAGACAGGACAAAACAGGAAGTGGTGGTCTTCAGAATATGATGGTTGCTTTACCTGGACTGACCAGAAATGGCTCTCCTGTGATTCTGGCAGCCCACCTGGAAATACTGGGGATCTAACCTGTGACATTTACAGACAAAGCATTGGATCTCCCAGTGAGCATCACTCTTGGAAAAGAGTGAAAGACTGCATCCCACCCACCAAGAGTAAATATAGCTGAAGGGCCTGGTTGGGTTTCCTGAGATGTTGAAGGTAGAAAAAGCTTAGTTTAGCTGAGCTAAGTGTGTGCCCCAGAAGGAAATGGCAGGGCAGACTGGGAGCTGGGAGATCTGGGTTCTAGTCCCCACTCAGCTCTGAAACTCAGTGGGTGACTTTGGACCAGCCATAGTCCCTTAGCCTAACCTACCTCTTGGATTGTTTTTGTGAGGATAAAATGAAGAGGTTGAGGAGGACCCATGCAAATTGCCATCAGTTCCCTGCAGGAAAAAATGTGGGGTATAAATAAAAAAATAGGTCTTGGGAACCAAGAAGTGGATGAGTAGGAAGAGCAAGCATGGTCAGAGGAAGCAAGGAGACATGGCGGATGTCTGAAGATTCCATGGGGTGTTGGTGCCCCATTAACTCAGGGACATGTGGCACAAGATGGTTTTCTTGTATAGATATGAGTTCTATGATGCATACCTGTCCTTGATAAAACAGATACATGTGTGTTCCTTGTATGTTGTGCTATGTTTCCACATATGTGAAACTCATCATGCCCAAAGCAATCCTCAAGCGCTTTTCTAGATAAGGAACCTACCCCTTGCCCATATTAAAACTGTCTGCTTGTTTGACCAGCTAGCTTTCACATTCACATCTGGTCTTGTTCATCCATTACCAGTACTTTGTCCATTCCTCAGAAAACAGGGACAATGTATGGATTGAGGCTGGCTGCATCAATAGCCTTTTGATTTATGGCATATATCCAGAGAGGATATAAAGGTTAAAGGGAAGGTAGAAAGGGATTTTCAGTCATGCATTCTGAGAGCTGTTTTATTTTTTTTTCTTTGTCTTTTCTGAACCAAATTCATCTGCTTCAGTCCTTTGTTTTTGCTGATGTGACCTGTATGGCAATCCAGAAAAAACCTATTCGTTTTCCTTCTTTTCCTGTACTCTTTGTAGTATTGCTGCAGAAATCCTAAAATTACCTTGCTCTTTAGTGAAGACTTACACTATTTTGTATTATTCTACTAATATCATGATTACCTTGGGATGCTGAAATAGTGGTTAGTATTGAAGGCATCCAGCTACCTTGTACATCCATTGCTTGCCTGAAATATTTCTGAAGTTGTCGCTCACTGGCTGCATGTTGTTTTTCTCTTACGTGAATGTTAAGACTGACACAGTGCAGTGCTCCAAGCAGAAAAAGATCTGCACGAAGCTGTCAGATCTCTTTCCATGCCTGAGTATTTCGGTTTTACATCTGTCATGTATTTATTGAAAATGTACCTGCAAACTGCCAATGTAGTGCACGTGGCCGGCATGTTTGCACAAGTAGCCACTTGGTTCTGGCAGGCTGTCTAGGTATGTGCACAAGCTAATTCAATTAAGCAGCTGGGAGTATGGGATTCTTTGCTGCATCAGATGTTGGAGGGAGGCGTGATGCTACCTACCTCTGTAAGAGATAACAGGGGAATCATTAGTCACAGAATCAAGAATGAAGCCCTAGAGAGTTTGTGGTGTGGGACTAGGGCTTTTCTCCAGCTAAAGAAAATGAAGATTGCAGTCCTACATATGTTTACTATGAAGTGGATACTACTGAATACAGTGGAACTTACTGCTTGATTGGGGTGTACAGCAGCCTTCCCCGGACTGTATCCCTCCATATGTTTTGGACTATAACTCTTATAATGTCTGACTATTGGCCATGCTGGCTGGATCTGATGGAAAATTAGTCTGAAGCCATCTGAAAGGCACTGTGTTCAGAATGTATGTGTACAGGATTGCTGTCTCAATCCATCACATGGATTTTAATACATTGATTTTTTAGATTAGCCCCAATCTAGAGAAAATTAGTCATAGTTAAAAGATCATTGAAACCATCACAGTATAAATAAATTTATTAATTATTTATTAGACTTATATCCCACTTTTTTTTTACATATAACAGACTCAAAGCGGTTCACATTATTCTCCTCCTCCTGCTCTCAGTTTTATCCCCATGACAACAACCCTGTGAGGTAGGTTGGGTTGAGAGTCTTGGATTGGCTCAAAGTCACCCAGTCGGCTCCACGGCTGAGGAGGACTAACACCTTCTTGCCCCTGAACCACACTGGCTCTCAGTGGGTTAATTTACCCCAAGTAAGTTAAATGGGAATTCCAAATATACTTGTATAGGATTGTGCCATTAGGTGTAATTGACTTGTCTTACTGATTTCAGTGGAACTTAAAATATGACTAATCTTTAGCTTTTCATCCCTAAATCTTCATGATTTGGTTGGCTACAGGGAAGCAGATTCATTGATTTTTCGATAATGGTCATACAGTAGCATTTGAGAAAAGACATGCCATCTTATGCGTTAGTGAAGTGCTGAATGCATCTCCTAACAGGATTATGGGCACCTGCAATTTTTGCATCCACTTGTATGAAAAAAACACCCGATTCCTTTAAAAAGACCTAAGAATGAAGCACTTCAGGAAACTTTGGAAGGATTAATAGGCTTAACCAGGCTTGCAGAAATAGCTACCTGTCCGCCCATCTTTCTGTTTCAGCTTTTCCAAAGCAGAATTGGGATGTTTGATAAGAGTACCAGAACAGAGTAATGTTATGGGGTCAGTTACCCAGTGTGGGGCTGAGAGAACTAAGCTATAAAAGAATTCTCTGTCACTGGGCAAACAGTTACTGGAAGAAAAGCATCATATGTGTAAAGGCAGGGCAGAAAGAACTCCTGTGTGGGGTCAGAAGCGTATTTGTAGTGCCTCAGTTACCAGAAGAAGTCTAGTGGCTTAATATCAAAAAGGCAGACAGGAAGGGCCTGGCTCCAATCTCACTGGAGTCAATGGGACTTTTGTCCCATAAACCAAGTGGTTAACACTGGCACAATGAATTATCCTTCAAAACTCAGTTTGCATCTTGTACAGGAATCGCCAGACCTCTAAAAATGAAATCTTGTAAAAGCTGTGGTAATGAGCAGCCTGAGGCTGCCCTGTAGGACCTTCAAGTAAACATTGAGTCTTTTCTGAAGCAAAAATCCTTATGGTTCGCTTGCAGAGCTCTGCTTAGCATTTGCCGCTCAGAGGGTGGTTCAGTACAGTAAGTGGATTTACTTCAGAGATGGAATTGGTCCCACGTGAAATATGAATTCCTGTCTGGAATGCAGGCAGGAGAGTACGTTATTTTTTAAAAAAGTAAAATGACACTATCTACCTAAGTTCATAGGCTTTTTCTTAGCCATCTGGAAGAATTGTTTTTGAAAACTTTCATAAGTTTTGCCAAAGAGACGCATGCTTCCCCCACTTTAGAAGCATTTGATCTGATAATCTTTGGTGGAGAATATTTTTGTCATTTGGAAGTTCTTTTTCACCAGACAAATGTGGTTCTTTTCTTCTTTTTTAGAATTCCATGTAAATTTGCCCTTTCGTTGCTCAAAACACAATATGTCTCCTGAGGTTTCCTGTAAGGCTTCACAAAGAAAGTTTAAACATTTTTTCTGCATCTCCAATGGGGCCATTCGGTTAAACTTCCTAGCAATGTCTCTAACCTCAATTTCTGTTCATCTTGAAAAGAAAAATCTGTTCT